TAGGAGTTAATTGTTTAACCTTTAGTGAGCTAAAGCTGCACCCATCTAAAATGACCTCTATTTAATAGATCAATGTTGATTGTTCTTTGAGCAGTTTAACAGATTCTCTGTCTAAACTTAAAATAAGTAAGGCTTTTATTTTGTTTGTGTGATCATCTTCAAGTTAGGTTAAGTCCCTTGAAGTCTTATTTTAAAAGCCACATTTTCTAATAATATATCATTTTCATGATAATGTCTCTTGCTTAAGCAATATAAATAATATTTTCCTCATTTCAGATGAGTTATAAGTTGGGCAGAGGCTTTATCTAGAAAACATAAAGAAGGTATGTTGCCAAACTGTGGTAAAATTCATATTCATTAATTGATATCTGAAATGAACTACAAATAGCAGATGGCATGACTTTCCTTAGATTGCTGAATAGATTTCTACATGAATTAAATTTTTTTTTTTGCAAACATCAAAAGAAAGATTTGAAAAAAATCCTAATGAAGAATATAATACTCATTCAGCATTTATTCATGTTCCATAGCTTGTAAGAGCTCAGACTATCTGTACATACCTTCTTCTGGATTGATGATTTTTTCCACTTCTGTCACCACTATGAAAACAAAGGCACTGACCACTTCTCTCTGATCTACGGTCAAAAGCCCAGATTCCTCTAGGAACACTTGGTCAAGCATTTTAAATCCCTGATATTGACTTTGTCATTGGTTTTGCTCTCAAAGTTCCAAATTTCCTAGCAAGGAATTAAAATATCCAAATCACCCGGATTCTCATCAGGTTATTCAGTCTTATCTCTTTGCACTCACCCCACTCTGCCCCTCTGCTCTATCTTCTAGTCACACTGGACTACTTGGATTGCTCACCTCTCATTCTTTGCATGCACCTCTTCCCTTTCTCTTTCATACTTTCTCTTTATCCTTCAGGTGGTCAAATCTTAAGAGCACCTCAACCCCAAACCTACACTATTGACCCAAAACTGGGACAGAAATCCCTTCTGTGTTCCAGTAATACCCTATATTATACCTGTCATAACACCCATGACTCTGTAAGGAAATGGTCTGTCCTTGTATTTTTCAAGTTATAGGATCTGATGTTGAGGGGTTATTTATCATTTTGTCACACAGAGCTTTGTCATATGCCTTAGCATAAGGTTGTTGAATTCATCACTGAGGGGTGGAAAACCTGAAGCTCTGATCTTGAGCCACAGTGATAATTCAATGTGCAACTTTAGGCAAATTATATTTCATAGTAATCTTGTCTTGTAGCTATACACACATATTTTTGACTCTTATTAACACTATAAGTTATTAGCTTTTTGTTCACTGATTCTTGCTTAGTGAATTATAAAATGTTTGAGATAAATAATATAATTATTTTTCTTTCCACTTGCTACAGAATTTGAAACTTGACCCACTAGAACTTTTGCCTTAAGACCTACTAATAAGCCAAGTAAATGTCTACTTTTGATAGCATCACAAGAATACACAGAAGATTTAAGAAAAAAATATGATATTAAAGATAACATTGTATTCATTATACCATTGGCATAAAATTTTAATTTTTTCCCACTAAGTGTATGATGTGGAAACTTTATTGATGGAAAATGTCTGTATCACATATACATGAAGGAATTCATACAATATTTGAAACTGTTTCTTTTCATATATAATCAAATATGAAGAACAAGTACAAACTGAAATTAGAGTTTAATGTACTCAAACTGTTTAAATGTCAGATATTTAAAAAGCACCTAGGCAATCAAGTGATCAGTATTAGCTTCATGGTTCTAAATATAACACTAATGATGGATTATTTGTATCATACAAATTGTGTCACCATATATGGACCTAGAATTTAGAAAGACTTTATTTTCATGTGCCAATCCCATACCAATGCTTTAATGCATTACAATTATTGTAGTGGCATCAAACTTACATACTTTTAATAATTTTAATTTTAAGCCCTAACTTATGATACTTTCCTGGTGAGAAACAAAACTTCCTTAAGGCTTTTCATTTTTTCACTTTTTCTCTTTGTTCATTTATACAATCTTAGTGTTTTAGAAATAATATTAAAGAAAAGTTCCAGGTTCTAATATAAAGAACATTTTCCCCTTGTACCATTTGAGAATAAATTGCTGATCTACACCATTTTTACCTCTGTTCGGTGAGTCCTTGCTTCCCTGAATGCTGCAGTATAATACCAGAGAGGCAGGAGGCAAGTGTAGAGTGGAAAGTAGAAGGCTTTATTAAAGGACAGCAGAAAAGACTTCTCCCTGAGGAAGAAGAGGACCCAAAAGGCGGAATCTGTGGAAGCGGGAGGTCTTCCCTATTTATAGCTAAGGTCTTCTTTCAGCTTTCTCACATTTTTTTTTTCATTTCTGATGAACAAATTATTGATTTATTATTAAAGTGACAATCATTGCTAGGTTACATGAAATATTTTAAAATTAATTCATTAATCACACAACAATCACATTTTATATTTTACAAGTGAAGATATTGAGGCATAGTAAAATTAGATAATCAACACAGAATCACATGTCTTTTGTTTCCCTTTATCTTGCAGTGATAGAATGCAGGTGGGAAGGCCCAAATGGTGGGAGATCAGTGGGCTGGAGGAGTAATCTGGGTAGGAAGGGCGGGGCTTTTGATTAGCACTTCCCTGTTTACTGGGAGCTGTTTCATTAACATTTCCTTAGAATGGGTTCTGTGCCTTAACATTTCAATTTCCCCAAGCGCTGCTTTGCTTTCCTGGACTCCATTCTCAAGAAAGGCCTCCATTTTCTTTATCTTACTCAATTTTACACTCGATTTACTACACTCTCTGTAAATCTAGCTTCACCATCACCATCATGATTAATATTTTCTACAATTCAGAACATGCCATATGACTACAGTACAACCTCTATAACTGAAAAGCTAATATGAATACATTCTATCATAATGAATTCTACCATCAAATTTTTTCCAGTTTTGCTTTTTTCCTATAATGTCCTTTGTAACAATGGTATCCCATTCAGACTCATGAAATGCATTTATTGTATTTTGTTGACTCCTTCAGGCTCAAACATTCCTCAGTCTCTCCTTGACCTTCATGACCTTGAATCTTTTAAGGAAGAATTCTCATATAATGTGCCTCCGAATTTTTTTGCTGGTTTATAATTGGAACCAGATTATGTGTTATTTGACAAGAGTATCCCACAGAAGTGATTCTGTGACTTTCTTTTTGAATCACATTACTGATGACATTAACATTGATCACTAAATGTGTCTTTGGGGTTTCTCTTCTGTAATGTTGCCTTTTCCCTTCATAATTATTTAGCATTTTATAGGGAGATAATTTGAGATTATTACATATATCCCTATGCCTCACCCAACTTTCTATTTATTCACTTAATAGTATCTATATAGATATAGACCATTTGAGTGCAATGTTACTTATTAATATAATTTAAAAATTTATTTTTCTTTTAAAAATATTCTATTTTGATGATTTCAGACTTATTAGATTTGTAACGTTACTACAAAGAATTCCTAGAAAACATCCCCTAAATGTTAACATTTCACAACCTTTGCTTTATCCCTTCTCCTGTCTTTCTAGATAAATATAAATATAGGTATATGATAGACACTTTTCTCTCAACCATTTGTGAGTTGCAGACATGATGCCTCTATGACAAAATACTTGTATTTCCTAAAAACAGGAAATTATATATGTATAGTGTAATGATTGCAGAAAATCAAATTTGGTTAAATATTAATATTTAATCTACAAAACATTCATAATTTGCCAGTTATTTCAACTATCTTTTTTAACCAAAATAACAACTAAGCTTGGGGGTTTTCATGATCCATAATTTAGTGTCCAGTGGTCCTGTTTCTTTAGTGTCCTTTAGTTTGGGACAGTTCCTGAGTCTGTGCTTTACATGAGTATTTAAGTTGTTGAATGATATATTTCAGTTTTGTAGATTTTTCTTCAGTTTGGGATCAGATGATGATACCTCATGACTAGATGTAGTTTATGCCATTAGGCAGGAATGTCATCCATGTCATGCTGAGCTCTTCCCAATGCAGCAGATTCCATCTGCACTGACAGACCCTCCCTGGTTAGATGTTGAGGAAACCCACCTGGCCAAGAACTGTTTATAGCTTCCAGGAAGAGAAGGTATCTAAGATTGAGGGTTTTCACAATCTGTAATTCACTGTGTCCAGTGGTCCTGTTTCTTTAGTGTCCTTTAGTTTGGGACCAGTCCTGAGTCTGTGCTTTATGTGACATTTAAGTTGTTGTATCTTGTAGAACTTAAAGGAAGTCTCTAACCAAATTAGCAAATAGCTGGGGGCCTCAGTCACAAGAAATTATGTTGGTATGTACTTAATTCCACGACTAGCCAATATTGACTTTGATTCTTTCATTAAGGAGTATCTTCCAGGGGATAGTGGTGTAACTCAGTGGTGAGAGTGTTTACTTAGCATTAATGAAGCCTGAGGGTCAATCCTAGCACTACAAAACAAAAATGAAAACAGACATACTTCATTTACAAAAATAGGCTATGGGCTGGATGTTCCCCACAAGTACTATTTCACTGATCCTTGTGTTAAACTCAAGGTGCTGTTAATGCAGTTCGTCTTTTGGGGTACCCTGCAAGCATATCATTGTCCTTGTCATAGACATATGAAACACACCATTTTTTTTTATAGAGGGACTTCCTATATTATTCACAAAATTTGGTTATAAAATATGATTATTTCATGAATTTATCCTCCTTAGTTATTAAATTCAATATTTCAATATGACTAATTACTTTGTATATTTGACTAATATAAAATGTCCTAGAATTAAGAAAACTGTTACACAATCTGAAATTCTATTCTTAAAATTGTTACTCTTTCTGTCATCTTTGAGTATGAGAATTGATAATAAGCTTATATAATAAATCAGGAAGAAATAGTCAATGAACTTTAGATTAACATTTTATGAAATACTTATACCTTTTCCTAGTTTTTTGGTGCCACATATAATGCAATTTTTTTAAATCCTCAAAGTATAACAAACATTTTATGATCATTATGTAAGGATTAAAAATATAGGGAAAGAAGAAAAAAAATTGGATCCTCTTCAATTATGTCACATATATATGATATCCTTTAAAGGAGGGTCTGGTTTCATGGACTTAAATTCATTTTCCTTTTTTGGGGGGTAGGGGGATCATACTCGGGTCATCCACAGGTCTTCTTCTGAACCATGTCCCATGTCCCTTATTCATTCTTGAACTCACTCTAGTGATTTTTCTCTTCCAGGAGACCTCCAAAAATTTTTCCCCCAAAGTTACCACTGATTTTCACTTTAACAAATCAAGACATAATTTCATACACCTCATTTTACAGGTACTTATTGAGCAGTGAAACATATCCACTTCAAATGTCAAGAATTTCTAAGCTACTTGAGTTTAGACTCCACCCAAATAATAGCTGTACTAATGTGAAATGAATTCTATTTTCTTTTCCACAACCACAACTGAATGTATATAAACCCCCCACCCATTCAAATAATTGTAGAACCACAAAGAAAAAATGGAGACAATGCAAAACCAGGAACAGCCTCATTGAAATGGGGAAGGAGAGCTGTTTCTTTCACCCAGATCAGCCCATTTCTCCAGTAGAGACAGCTTGGTCTGATCATGAGAAAATGCCCAATCTCAGTTTTCCCCTTGGGGTCCAGAAAAAGGGGAACATAATTCCAACATTCTGGCTCTTCTGAGACTGCTGTCTGTTATAATGGACAGAATTGGTGGCATAATTTGGGTAATGAGGAGTCACTGAGAACCAGAACACTTGGTAGCTTGCTGAGCACCTGGGGACCTGAAGTACCGAGAACAAACACTAGGTGGAGCAAGCGATGATGTGCTGCTGCAGTCTGGCTGGGCACAATTCAGGAGCCACTTTCAAAAGAAAGTGAGCCAATCAGTTGGCAGCTAGAAGTTTGCTGGGGCCGCTGTGAGCCAATCATCAGCTGGCAGCTGGAAGTTTGCTGGGGCCCCTTGGGCTGTGGCTCTCAACAATGTGCTTCTCACAGAAAGGCACAGTTCTCTGCCTGGAAAGCTAATTGGTCAAATTCAGAGAAGATGCATTCTGGGAGAGGTCAGAGAGGCCCCAAGGGTCAAGCTGATTCACTGGTGAAGGTTTTCCCCAGAATAAAGCCACTTATGAGAGAAATTATCAAAACTGAAATTCTGAACTAAGGAAAAATCAGTTTAAGGAGCACTCCAAGACCAGGCAGAAGATGAGCCATGTTATTTTACAGTAGCTGAAGGACTTAAAAAAATGAAACTTCTTAGTATTTCTGTTAGGAAATAATGACACAAACACTTCTTTTTTTTTTTTTTTTGCTACCTTTCCTATCCCCTACTATCCCCCCTCCCCTCTTCTCAAACACTTCTTAAAAGTATTAATATTAGTAACAATAAAAAATGACTTAGGAAAAAATCCACTATCAGGGATTAATCCAAAATCTGACTAAAAATTCAAATAATGGTTATATTTGTGCTCTGCCATCCCTCAACACTGGGGATG